TCAAACCGTTCGTCTTGGGATATTTGTTCGTGCGTATAAAGGAAATGCCAATTTGAATGCCAAGGTCAACGCGATCATGGGAAAACGTGGGACAAAGTCGCGACTCTTGACCGGGGAACATCCCGTGGTTTTGACCCGCCGCGGGATCGTACGGCGGCGGACCAGACACGCGCGCCGTGCGCGCGTCGCGGTAGAAAAGTCAATGCACCCGGCACTTGCCAAGTGGCCATTAAGCTGCAATCTCTTTCCTTAGTACCGGTGGTGGGCCCCACAGTACGAGACGCCTCCCGTGTCGCCCAAGCATGCGTTCGCGAAGATTTGTGGATTAGGATAAATTGGTTTTGCGAAAAATAAATTATCTAAAAGATACATATATATTTTTAAAATTATTATTTGTATAGCTCGAAATAATTGACTAATAAAAATATATTTTAATTATCGATAATAATTTATATCTAAATATTTTCGTGGACGATAAAAATATTTTTCTGTTTATTCATTTTTATGAGTGATGCAAAAGACCATTTTTAAGAAAATATCTCCAAAATCATTCAATTTTTCATGAAATAAACCTTTAGTACAACATGTCAAATCACCGTGTGTACGAAAGCCTAATGTTTCAAGTTCGTCCATGCATATCATGTTTACAGAAATGACGGCGAGCGGCGGCACATCCTAGACACACAACAATATGACGTTGGCGAGAATGGGGGCAAGCACAAAAGCCGAGTTGAGAGGTGGCTGTGGATGGACGAGGAGAGAGCGAACCTAAAAAAACGAAGAAGCGGACATGTAGGAGCTAATTAGGGTTTGGTAGGATTTCAGATCAAGTGCGGCGATGATTAGAATTAGGTGGACACGTGTCGCGATCTCGACATGGAGATTGCAAGCGGATGCACGGTAGGAGACGGCAAATCTATGCCCACTCCGACCGCCCGACGCCTGCATCATGCGATTTCATGGCAACCGGTGGCCCGCCGTCGACTTTAACGATGTGTGTTGTTCACGGAAGCCACCGGGGATCTCTTTTATTTAAGCGAATCCGTACGCTTATCGCGAGCAAAATATAACATAAGAAGCGAGCCCATGCACAGATAAAAGAGCAAAACCCATGCAAGCGAAGGGACTTCTTCCACTTTGATTCGATCGTCTTGTCTTCTTCACATGCAAATTGGGCATTGCTTGTCCTCCTCTTCGATCCGAATCTAGCGGGATGATAAGATCGCGTCCACGTCCTCGAGCAAATGCAATTGCACATGCAAATATTATCCAATAATAAGATATTGTGTTGGGTTCAACGCGTGGATTATAACGAGGCAATATTTAAAAAAAGTAACATTAAAGAAAGACTCTTTTTAACATTATGATCTGAAGACAGTTTGTGAAGGTCGCTCGTGATTTATAAAAGTGCGATTGTAATCGTTGAAAAAATATAAAATTGTAAAGGGAACTTGACTTGTTTAGTATTCTCTTCGCTAGGAAACTTTATTACCACTTCAAGCAATTGACTTGATCGTGTGTGATTTTTATTCTACATCATGTGAATCATGCAAATAATACTGATTGACATAATGAAAGTTAAATAATCATAAAGAAGATACTTTTCTTATTTCCTGATTTATGATCTAATTAAGCTACATTTCGCTTTACTTCTGGTTTTAATTAGCCATCACAATTACTAAAAAAAAATCCCGGTTACGAATGTGCCGCGTTTTTGAACAAAGTGTTATTGTCCTGCGGTATCAAAATGCAAATGATTCTGTGTATCGAATTGGACTATTAACATAATTCGATTAAATCGGTTATGTCTGCACGTTAATGACTAAAACAAGAGGGACATGTCCAAATCAATGTTTTTGATCTACATCATAGCTATGTGGCCTAAAGCCAAATGCCAAGTATCTTTCCATGCAGACCCATTTCCCCCCGACCTTGCGAGCGTGATTGACCAATCTCTTAAATAACTTTAAAGACTCAATGAACCTGTAATTAAAAAATTATTTCACGAAAAAAGAATAATTCAAAAAATATTTTTTTAAAAAAATGATTGTTTGTATCACTTGCAAAAAAATGAATAAACGAAAAATATTTTCATCATCCGTGAAAATAATTAAACGCAAATTGTTGTCTATAATGTAAATGTTTGTCATTTTATTATTTCAAACGAAACAAGTGATTATTTTTAAAGAAAAATTTTCCAAATCATTCATTATCCGCGAAATAAAGGCACTTTCAGAATCACTAAAATCCGAGAGTTTGTATTGAGATAATCCTTTTATATATGCCACATGGAGTACAGAAATTACCCATGCTCTTGAACATATCCATTTAAAAAGGTGCATGTACAGTGGCAGCCAACTTGAATCGTGCCACAGCAACTAGTCACCCCCTGCCCAAGTCCCAACTGCCCACAGCAAAGGCATTTATTATCAACTTGAAGAAGTAGATGCATTGACTTCGATGTGATACTGATTTTCTCTTCTTTTCTCTCAATTCTTGTTTTTTGGCGAGAAAATTTCAAAGAAATTGTCTTGACAATCTGTTCATTAAATGTGCCTTAAATTTTCGATATCTATTATTCGAAGTAAGAGACTTTAATATAATGTATAACTCTTCCATTTTCGAAGTGTCAGGGGAAGTGTCATTTTTCGCTTTTATCTGCCTTAACTCATCCTCCAGGGACACTTATCAAGAAGAACCTTTTGCTAAATTATATGCTTGTTAAAACAGTATTGATGTGGGAGGGCCATTTAAACAAGTCGACATTAGAAGAGGGTGTCTAGTTGCTTTAATATATGCGAAAAATGAATAATTTTAAAAATATATTTTTAAAAATGATTATTTGTATCGCTCGTAAAAAATGAATAAACGAAAAATATTTTCATTATCTGCGAAAATAATTAAACACTTATTCTGTCAATAATAAAAATATTTGTTATTTTATTATTTCAAACGAAATAAGTGATCCTTTTTAAAGAAAATTTTTTCAAATCATTTATTATCCACGAAACAAATAATCTCTCAAAATCACTAAAATCCGAGAGTTTGTATTCAAATAATCCTTTAATATATGCGACATCGAGTACAGAAATTGCCCAAGCACTTGAACATATCCATTTAAAAAGGTGCATGAACAGTGGCAGCCGACTTGAATCGTGCCACAGCAGCTAGTCCACCCCCTGCCCAAGTCCCAACTGCCCACAGCAAAAGCATTTATTATCAACCTGAAGAGTCGGTGCATCGACTTCGATGTGATGCTGATCTTCTCTTCTTTCCCCTCAATTCTTGTTTTTTGGCGAGAAAATTTCAAAAAAATTGTCTCGACAATCTGTTCATTAAATGTGCCTCAAAATTTTGATATTTATTATTCGGACTAAGAGACTTTAATATAATGTACAACTCTTCCATTTTCGAAGTGTCAAGGGAAATGTCGTTTTCGCTATTATCTGCCTTAACTCATGCTCCAGAAACACTTGTTGATAAGACCCTTTTGCTAAATTATGCTTGTTTAAAACAGTGTTGATGTGGGAGGGCCATTTAAACAAGTTGACATTAGAAAAGAGTGCGGGGAGGTCACCATCTCATCGATCCTTCTTCAGCGCAAGTATAAGAGTCCCATAACCTGTTACAGAATACGTGATTTGACCTATAACTATTTTGTTTACTCGAAACTCGTACCTCCGAGGGTGAAGAGGTCAATGGGCCCGTCACAACAACCCAATCGAGGGGCCGGAAGTTCTATATGTAGTAGAAAATGCTAAAGACACGAGTCATTTCGAACTCGTTATCATGGAGAAAATAAAACACGTCCTCTTTATTAGTGAGTTACCAGACTCAGTGATACCTCGATAGAGGAATATTATAGTCTAGACTAGAGGTGATCAATACATGAGCGCCTTGCTCGACCAGCCGAAGCCCGAGAGATAAAATGGGCGAATTTGGACAAAGGTCTTATACGAAAAAGCTTGGCTTGGCCAGAAATTCCTATGCAAAATTTACAATGCGGGTGGTTTGGACAATATATTAGAATCGACCTTCGAATCCGTTCTAACCTAAGTCCATCCATTGGTCGCTCCAGTACGATCCACACTCCAGACCACAGTCGGGCCATAACATCCTCGTGCTCCACGCCCACTCGACGCGGAAGTTGGACGGAATCGTGCATGCTGCTGCTACACTTCGCCTTGTGGCCCTCCCAACTTTTTTTTTTTCCATGAGAAAAGAACAGAGACGACCGAGTTAAAGTTCATAAAAGCGATGGGAACATGAACGCACTAGGTGCAATCCACACAGGGCACCGGCCGGGCCACAACAATGACATCCTACTAACTATTCTTTTGGTGGCAAACAGTAACAGAATCAAGAACAGAAGCATTCGGACGTCCACACAACGCACGATCCACAGGAAAAATCGACTACGTGCCAGAATTTTTCGGCTAATCATTCATCCGAATCGAACGAGCGAACTCGGCGAAGTTAGAACGCAACTTGGTGGGACGTCCGAATTAGAGCGCCGAACCATGTACATGCAAAGCATAGTAAGCGAGTACTTCATACTCCTGATGTAACAACCCGGCCCCACTCGCAAGATATTATCCGTCGCTTTGAGACTAAGTCTTCACGATTTTGTTCCAGACTTCATGCAACTCCTAAGATGTACACTCTTCGCACACCTTCACCGCAGCTACATGATTATCATAAAACATGAATTCCAAACTAAACCTAAGATGTACACTTTTCGCACAACTTCCCCGCAGCTACATGAGCGTGAATTCCAGACTTAAACAAGTCATTAGAAGGTTTAATCTTGATTCTCATTCGGATCTCGAGATTATATGGAATTATCTAAATGTAAAACATCTAGGAAGTATTTCTCTCTCTCTCTGGAAGATAAGGAGAGAAATTAGGAGTGCGAGAGGGGGGAGCGTCGACTCTCTATTTTCCTTTATTTTATTGTCGTAGTTTAAGAACAATTTGCCAAGTTGACCATTAATAAAACTTGGAAAAAGATGTGACCAGAAAAATCCCAGAGCGGAGATTTTACGGTCGCAGCAGATCAACCGTGTTCTTTCATGGAAACCTCTTCTGATCTCCCCGCAGACTCTCTCTCTCTCTCTCTCTCTACTTTCTTTGACTGCCCTTCTCTCTCTAAAACCCATTTCCATATAAGCGTCCTCGAGCCTCTCCTGTTCTGCATCATCTCGCTTCACGGCAAGAACAGCAGCCCCCCCTCACCAAATTTCTGTCATCTCCTTTCGTCTCCAAAGGGTTGTAGCATAGACGCCTTCGAAATTCTCACCGACTTTCCATTCCCACCTTTGAATTCCTCGCACAGCTCGTGCTTTTCAAAGCCCCCCACGTTGAAATCAACTCGAGCACCCCCCGTCCCGTTCAAAGGGTCTTGATCACTGTGCGCATTTGAAGGTCTCGTAGACCCTCCCTCCTCTTCTTCCCTCTGGGGCGTGCGAGTATAAAAGGGGGAGCTGGGGTCTGCGTCAGGCATATCTTGTGAAGAAATTGATCTTTCGGCTCTCAGAGGAACAGCTTGTTCGCGAGGGAAAAGAAACTAAAAGAAAAGAGAATTTCTGGGTTCAGTTCTTGATTCTGGACTAAGAGGTATGATAAAGTTCCGACCTTTCGTCATTCGAGTTTGTTTTTTCAGCAAAAAGCAGGGCATTCGAGTTTTTTCCATGTCGGAGCTGGGTATGATTGTGCAGAGAAACATGTTCTTGCTCTCTGATGTCTCTGATAATATTGTGTTCTTCTTTTTTTGGGGTGATTGCCTGTCAAAACTTGGACTTGGGTTGTGTTTTTTGCACTTTAATGGCGGTCAAATGAATTGATTTTGCTTGCTTTGCCCTTCCTTTTTCATTTTCTTCAATATGTTGTGTGTGTTCTTGCCGAGCAAATATCTCAGATTGCATTCTTTTATGAACTTCGTTGACAACGGATCAGAAATTTCAGATCAAAATTGTGGATAAAGTTCATAAAAGCAGCTTTACGTCCTATTTTAGTATGCCCATGGAGATTTTACATCGATAATAATACGTTCATTTCAGGAATTTTGTCATCTGATTATTTGGATTCTATCGTGTTTGAGCAGGTCAACGCTGAAATTTGTATGGGTTTATCGCTCTCCTTGCTCATATCTGCTTGGCACGAAATTGTTGCTCATTGGTGTGTCAAATTGGTCCACAACATCAGTTTATCTCCCAGGCAGCCAGAAGCGATTGCCTTGAGGACAAATAGCTTGAAGAGAACAAATCTACAGGTCATGACCAATTCAGTTGCCTCCGGCAAGACCAATTCTAAGAATTCCATTAAACTCAAAAGCTGCAAGCCCGACAACGTGGTTCTCGAACGAACCCTCTCTTTTGAGAATTTCTTACATGGTAAAGAAGCTAGCCAGGCTTCGGATAACTTAAAAGTCATAGATGGTCCGACCTGTAAACCGGCCAGAGGATTGTCCCTCCCTCAACCTGTGATATTTTTCTCGCCGAGACCTAAAAGCGAGCTCGATGCCGCGGCCGTTAAGGTGCAGAAAGTGTACAAGAGTTACAGAACAAGAAGAAACTTGGCAGATTGCGCGGTCGTCGTCGAGGAGCTCTGGTGAGTCTTTCTTGAATCAATTTGAATTGATCGAGAGTTGTTTCTGATGTGCCCTTTTATTAAATGGCTAATTGGTTCCAAACTGCAAATGTTTCAGGTGGAAGGCAATAGACTTTGCAGCCCTGAAGCATAGTTCCGTATCATTCTACAAGGATGATAATAAGCCTGAAACTGTTGGTTCTCGGTGGGCGAGGGCAAGAACTAGAGTCGCCAAGGTACATAAAAGACGATCTTTTGAAAGAGCTCTGTTTTTTTTCCTGCTTTCAACTTATTTTACAATTAACAATATCATTAGGATGCTGATAATTATCTTTCAGGTAGGAAAAGGTTTGTCAAAAGACGAGAATGCTCAAAAGCTAGCATTACAGCACTGGCTTGAAGCTGTAAGTCCCTTATCCTCCTGAGGCATGCAATAGCACGGCCACTTTTCTTTCCAAGTAAAGGAGATTTAAGAATATAGAATCCTGCTGATAGTATCTTGTTTGAACAGATTGACCCACGGCATCGTTATGGCCACAATTTGCATCTCTACTATGATGTGTGGTTCAGAAGCGAGAGCACACAGCCTTTCTTCTACTGGTTAGTAGTTCATGCGTGGAAATCTTTTGCTGTGTTTGTTACGTTCATGTTTTAGCCTATCATAATATTGTAGACAAACGTTCATCAGATGTCAAAAGATTTCTTAATAATGAGGACCGTGTTAAATGCAGGTTGGATGTTGGACAAGGCAAAGATATAAATCTCGAAAAGTGCCCAAGAAGTGTTCTGCATAAGCAATGCATCAAGTATCTCGGACCTGTAAGTCTCCGTCTTTTTTCGACTTATAGTGAATGTCTTGGCAAATTATTTTTTATCAATATCGTATCTGAACATGCTTCAGACAAACTGAAGGTAAAGAAACTATGGACATCCTTAATTGTAGCGACATGTTCAGCGGACATGTGAGAGAGAGTGTCTTGTTATATATCGCAGTGCAAAATCAAATGTCTCATAATGCATCTGCTTCGAACTGTCATTAACTCTTTGTTTTTTCTGCAGAACGAAAGAGAAGCCTATGAGGTGATAGTCGAAAATGGGAAACTCATGTATAAGAAAAACAGCGATCTTGTGGACACCGTGGAAGGTTCAAAGTGGATATTTGTACTTAGCACGTCGAGGGCCTTGTATGTGGGTCAAAAGAAGAAAGGCATGTTTCAGCACTCCAGTTTTCTTGCCGGTGCCGCCATCACCGCAGCCGGAAGATTGGTCGCCCATAACGGGATTCTAGAGGTACGGCACATTTCCTTGCATTTCAAAACGAATTATTTGTCTGCATCTTGTCTGCTCTTAATCGATATTCTCTAGTAGACAGCCGGCTTCTTTTCTCACTTAAATGTATATTTTGTGTATGTCTTTAGGCTATTTGGCCATACAGTGGGCACTACCACCCAACAGAAGAGAACTTCAGGGAATTCATCAGCTTCTTGGAGGAGCATCATGTAGACCTCAGCAATGTCAAGGTATAAATTTGTAAATATAAGTATTCTAGTGAACAAGTTGCTACGGTTAGGTAGAGAAGATGACCTCCTAGCTGTTGTTATAATTGGCTATGTGCGTATAAAATTGACGGGAAAGTTTTTGTATTCTTAAAAAATGAACAAAAATGAATGTCGCAAAATTGTTCTCATTGACCAACTTTTGTATATCAGCTGATCACTGACATAATATATGTATTCTTTTTCTCAGAGGTGTGCGGTGGACGATGACAATCCTTCATTCATAAACTCCAGTGAGGACTCAAAACACGGAACAAGCGAGGCCGCCGTGGAAACCGCCCAATCGGATGCCCCGGGAGCCGTTGACTTGGTTGCCAAGCCAGAGGAGCCGACCGTCAAACCTGGACTTCCGCAAGAAAATGTCACGAATGCCCGTGCCAAGACGGAACAGCCGGTGTTTGACCTTGCCAAGCGCATGTCGTGCAAGTGGTCGACAGGGACCGGCCCCCGCATCGGCTGCGTGAGGGACTACCCCACGGAGCTCCAGTCGCGGGCACTGGAGCAGGTTAACCTCTCTCCGAGAGTTGCCCCCGGGGCCTTCGGGAGTTACGGTCCGATCCCTTCCCCGCGTCCCAGCCCAAGGGTCAGGTTGTCCCCGCGGCTTTCTGGTATGGGCCTCCCGAGCCCGAGGACCATCATTGCTTCAGCTAACTGAGTTCGTTCAACGAGGGGACGGGCTTCGATTGTTGTGGCATTGGGCTGGACCATAGTCCAATAACTTTTGATGGCTGAGGCACTTGTAGTTCTGTTGCTCTCAGCTCAAGATTCTAATTTCTAGGGAAAAATAAAAGGGAAGAACCTATAGTAGGGAAAGAGAGTTCAGGGACTAACCCCATTTTTTCATGTATCTAAGTCAATTGCTTTGTTCATTCAAGTTGTTATTACCCGATCGTGGCTCTGTTTCCACGTTCTTTTTTGGATACCTAATCCGTGCCACCCTATCTTTTCTACTTTTCAAGATGAGGGCTGTAAAAGTTAAGTTGATGAAGAAGCTCGAAATCTGTTTGCAAGTTCATTGACTGATGTTCCAGTTATAATAAAGGGATCCATCTATTTCCCAGATTGACTATTTATTAATAGACCAAATGACTATTGAGTAACAGCTTAGAAGAAGGCGAACATGACAGAATTGCCCTCTAGTAATCTGCTTGCAACCTCTCCAATGCATGATGAAACTTCTAAAATTGTTATAGCACCTAGACACGAAAATTGTTGAGGACTTTATGTAAATGCATGAACATATCGATCTTGTAACTTCAAGATGCAAGGATCTGATATCAACCAACATAGCCAAAGAACTATTTTTTGAGCTTCTTTACCCGAAAATGGAGAGCAGCAATTTGAAATCCGACAATAGACCCGGATATTACAATTATGCAGAAGAGAAAAGGTACTCAGTTGATAAGAAAATGTAACTCTTTGGACGGTCTTGACAGAGTCTGGAGTCTCCAGAACTTTGGAACTCAATACCACGTAGTGAAGCATCATATCAGTCCCAGTCAAACGTACAGAGTTTAAAGACAACCTCCCTTTGTCTCTCAAGCCTGAACGACGACGAGAGGGCCAGATGCGAGAAACCCACCTCGGGGACAGCTTCCTCGGTTCGTACGTATGCGCGCTCATTAGGCGAAATCAAATCACGTTGTTGGCTTGTTTTCAGGACCAAAAGACATTCCTTGATCGCCACTTCTGCGGTGATAACTCTGGTCTCTTCAGCAGAGGGAAGCCTTCTAATTGTTTCTCGTTAGAGAATTCAAGTTAATGCATGATGGAGTTAGCATGCTTCGTGCTGCTCTGCTCTTCGACACCAAAGTATAAACTTGAACGCGACAGGAAATTATCGAGAAAAAATCAAAATTTGACGTGGCAGTAAGCAGCAGGACTGGGTCTAATTTAACTATTTTTTTTCCTGATGAATTCTTTCTTTTCTCGGTTGGGTGAAATTACATAGTTTTGATGAAGTGTTTCTCGGACTTCAAGGGGACTTCGGCTGCTGTGCCATGTTTGACTGAATTCGTCGCTTTATGCTGTGTGCCTATCAGCTTTTGGTTTTCAGCTTTGGCCCAACCCCAACAGAGCAGATTGATGATCAACCGATGATGACATCGCGCGCGGACGTTTGAAGTCTTAAGTTGCCCAAGTTTTCTGAATTATCAGAGTGGAAGGTTTTGCAGAACTGTAGACCATAATCCTCACTCCCAAGACCAATTAGCAAGATATAGGGACTATGATGATGTTCTAGCATATGCAACGATTTCATGGAGTTCGAAGAATCGGATCATAACTCGTAGGGTACTGTCTTTGGTGCTAATTAGGGGTGCGCACTGACCGAGCAGGTCGGATCTCAAGACATTTTATGGCTCCGGCCTTGGTAAATCGATTTGGATCAGGCAGGTTCTGGCCAGTTCGAATTTTTTGCTTTGTTTTTAAAAATATTACGAATGGATTAGTTATTGCATTTTTGGCCCCAACAATTATTTTTTTTATCTGTTTACTTTTTAAATTATTTATGACTTAATTAAAGTGTTTTGATCATGAATAATAACATAATGGTTACATTAAATGACGCGTTACCATATTTGACCCTTTCAACATTTTTCTTCATTGACAACAAGAATCACCGCTGTGCGACGAGTCGTAACGATAGAGAAACGTTATATAACTCACAAGGCACAGTTATTTGTATGAATTCGAAACGATTGATTCTGATTTCGAATAATCCTCCATAAATATAGAAAATACATATAGAATTTCCAAGTAGATCATACTCTGTGGTGCGATAACAAAAAGGTTTTTTAACACTTTGTTCTTTTGCAAGTCTCGACAAAGACTCGAGAGACATTTAGTACAATGAGATGTAATTAATGTGGTCAAAGACCTTTTGACTACCCATAATCAACTTGTGTCCTTGTTTCCCACCCGGGGAGACCAGCCCAACGAGTCAAATGACCTAAGCCAAGAACCAGAAAAAAAAAACAATAGAGAGTCTTAACGATGCCGAGTCAGTCATCTTAATTAACTCACTGACTCGAACATGCCATCAGAACAGCAAATTGACTGTTGCCATTTCGCCCACGTGACTTCATCCCTCGTGATAAACTTACCATCTTCAACACATTTGTCATTGGTGACCTAAAGGGCATATAAAGAAGAATCCTACTTTGGTGATTTTCGTAGAGAAAAAGGAGCTATCGAAAGATTATGATTAACTGGCGACTCCCTCGATTGCGTGGGCTCTAGAGCAATGCCAAGCTTTGCCTTGGATGTGATTAACTCGGCGCGGGGCATGTATCGGAAGCAAGATTACAGCACAAGCACACGGATTCACGTCGCCACGACAAATCGCCTGAGTATGCATGGTATTGAGTTGGGTACCGTCCCGAAGCTTATCGAGTGTTTATGCAAGCTCCGCAACAGGGCTCAATCATTTAAATTGGAGTGAAAGGAGTAGGGACTCCGAGAGCCAACTCGTCTCTTATTACATGTTTTTTTGTATATCATAGTGGCCATGCATATATTAGAAATAGCAAAGTTTTCTTCCGATTATATAACAGAAGACGGGGGCATATTTTAACAAAGTTCACATCGAGATAATTACTTCTTCTCGATTATAGAAAAGAAAAATATTAAATGTCATATTATTGCTCATCTCTTGCAAGAGCACAGGATGTGAACTGTGAAGGGACTAGGCCGAGAGGCCACCCCCCCTAGTAGAACTTTCACTGACCTCTTGACAGGTTCATTTAATGCAGTCGATTGTTCAGTTTGTTTTCTCCAGCATGAAGTCCGAGATCCACCAAAGCTGGATTTTCCCCCCTCTTTTTTTGTCTTGTATTTTCTTTTTCCTTGGGCCAGGGGAGAAAAAATTTGGAGTTGATTTTTGTATGTGCATACAGAGTTTGGTGCTGTCCTGATTCTGTCGCGTGTTAGGAAGGAGGGGATGGTGTGCGGTAAGATAAGATTGCTTGCAGAGTAGGAGATCGTAGGTGTGGTGTATGTACACTTTGGTGTGTTTTCTGTCATCTCTGTGTTGATCTGTAAACCTGGAAGACAGAGCGGACGGAATCGATTATCAAGAAGAGAGAAAGAAAAAGGAGAAATCCCGTTTCAGATTGACAGGAGAAAAGGTAGAATCACTTGTGCAAGAAGCAATATCACTCTCCAGCCTCCCACAAATACAGCTGAGAAGGAGAGAGAGAGAGAACCCTGAATGAAAGAGAGAGGAGAAAAGGAGAATACACTGTGTCCTTCTTCGCCCATCGCCGTCCATTCATTTTAAAAAGGCGTCATCATTGCATGGCCTCTTGTCCCTGCCGATCACTCACATCCCACCCAATTCATCTCTCTGTCACGCTTGGTTCTTGAAGGCCATCATCCCCCATCTGGCCTTCATCGTCAGCATCATTTGAGAAATTTGAGGGGGTTGAATAGGATGACGAAGCCAGTAATGATTCGGTACTGTTTACTCGTAGCCGCTCTGCAGATAGTGGGTGTGGTGTCCATGACAAGCACGCCCTCCTCGTTATTCGTCGCTGCTCACAAGCAAGGTCAGTGTATCCCGAGCGTTGGTTCATTTAAGTTGTCTATCAGATCATCACGCACTTTTCCAAGAACGATGCCCTGATGTCCGTTCTTCCTCTAGCGTCCCTTTATCGTTTGCTTTAAATTATCAAGAACACCATCTTCTTAACCACAGTATTTTCTTGATGTCCATTCTTGATCAAAACAGAGGCAAGACCACATCTTTCCCGGGCCACGCTGAACATCAAGCAGGTATTTTTCTCGGGCAAATCACATCTTAAATTGGGTTTGGTTGATCCATTCTGCAAACATTCTCAACATGGTCTGTGATAATCTTCTTTGCCGGTGTCTCTGTCTCCCTCTTGCGATTGTGATTTTGAAGGGAGCGAGCGTGGAGAAGGTGGGAGAGATCGGGGACGAGAAGTGCAGGGGACTGAGCAGGCTCGGGTCGAGGCCGCCCAACTGCGAGCACAAGTGCAGAGGCTGCGAGCCATGCGAGGCCATCCAAATCCCCGCGACCACCGACCGAGCGAGCGTCCAGTACGCTAACTACGAGCCCGAGGGTTGGAAGTGCAAGTGCGGCTCTTCCTTCTTCGACCCATGAATGCTCTCTCGCACTCTCTACTTCTCCCTGCTTCACCAGTGTCACGTCGACGCTCTAGTCTCAAGCACAAGCAGACAACACGGATTGGCCCCTTCACAGTTCCAACAGGACTCTGGCAAGAAAGGAAGGAAGAAGAACTAGCCCTCGTCTTTCATCATCATTTTTGGTACCGAATCGTGTATAATAGACGGATTGGCCCAGCTCCAGACTCCAGTTCTCTCGTTTTGCTTCCCAGTCTATGAGGAGTTTTTTAAGGGGGTTTAGGCTTTTCAAAGCCACTGTTTTGGCTCGTGTGTAGTGGAAAGAGGATGGATAGTTCTCAGCACTTTTGCCTTTTCTCCCTTGACCTCAATCTGTCTCTTCCGAGTCCTTTTAGGTTAGTACTAAGCGATAATTATGGCCATTTTTGAGCTGTATCTTGTAGGGGCTTTTCCCTGTCGAGGTTTTTAGTTTACCCGGATGCATAAGAGGCGAATGCATTTCTATTTTCGAGTTACCATGCCCTAGAGTTTGTGTTATCTGAATGTCGATTAGTGAGAAGCTGATGGACTATCGAATTTATGTCGATCATGGATGTATTGAATTTATGTCACCAATCATGCATCCCTATTGAGATTTTAGAGTCTTTTGTATTCGGGTGCCATCGCGTGATAATTGAGCGGTTGCACATAATTTGCTAGGATAGTTCGGTCTTTCTTAGGCTAATTTCGTGGTAATCGTGACAAACAAACCTTGTCCAAGCAAGAGGTCGATTGATTTTAGGTTCATTTGCATAAGTCCGAGAAGGTGATGGACGGAAATATTCACAAGTCGATAAGCTTAATGTTGGCGATGGTAATATCCCTCGATGATGCAAGTTTTGGGGGTTGATCTGATCATGAGTCTAGCGATTATATGGGCTCGCCTAGCCTAGCCTAGCCTGCCCATTTAAATAAGATTTTTAGTTTTCGTGGGTCTCTGATTCGGGTTTTGACCCCATACCCGAGACCTCGATAACAATCCTCTGTACATTTAGCCCAAAACCCTCGGATCCAAACCAACCCAAACCAAAAAATAAAGAAGGTTCTGGCCCATTCGGGTTGGGTTTTCGGATCCTGTGGCGGATCACGGGTTCACTATGCTAGGTGGGTTTCGGTTATCCTGATAAATTTTTTCGATATTTTGGCAGGTTTGGACATAGATTTTGAGGTTAAATCTTCGGCTCCAACAAGGTCCGATCCAACCATTTGGACCTCGGTATCAAGTTCAGGTGACCCGTTTGTTGGACCCACCTTTGGTGATACTTTTGAGGGAGAACACATTTTTGAAGTTGAAAACTTTAAAATAATAGAAATAAAAAGCTGGGACAGGCCCCACAATTTCTTTTTTTTTTTTTGCTTTGGAGGATTTGAGTCATTCTCAAATTGTGTATCAAGTTCTAATCAAAGTGACAATCACGGGGCGAAAAGAAAAATTTAATACTAAGAGCGTGATTATTTCGTAGAGAATTGATGAGTTTGAAATTTTTTTCAATCTCACCAACAATTTATTTTTTAATTAATTTGTTAATGACGAAAATATTTTTTATTGAATCATTTTCGTGAACAATAATAGTAATTATTTTTTGGAAAATTGTTTTTCCGATCGCGTGAAACAAAACGCACCCTTATTGGGAGGTCATATCATGAGAAGTAATATGGGCACAGGTATGTCAAACTCCAAGTGGATCAACTATCTTAGACCCAAAGATGGAGATCTAAAATGACATTTTTGAATATATGTATAGCTAACTTATTAGGTTTTCACGTTACGATTTATCCTGTCGATGAGGTGAGTAAGGTACTTTTTATACTTTCGGAATCTACCCCTGCAAAATGGAGTTCAACATGATCGAAGAAAAGGAGAAAAGAAACCGCACAATCATCTTTGCGACGACATGTACAATTGGCGATTTGTATAAGACTACCGTCGAGAGGCAATTCGCAGTCATGTTCAAATCCAGGCCAATAATAAAGCATCACAATTCCTATTTAGTAGTCACCGTACCATAAAAGAGAAAAGGAAAAATGATAAGAATGGTATCCGAACTTTGATTGATTGTGCAACGTCGTTTCTGAATTCTAAATTTGTTCAATGTAGCCTTCGAACTATTGACAAATGTTCAATGTAGTCCTCCATTTTGCTCAAATGACAAATCCGGCATATCATATGTCGAGTTTGATGCTTAAAAATGACGAGTCAACATGTCTATCTTTTTATTCATCACCTTTGAAAAGAAAAAATGAAATCGGAGCATTACCATGTCCATTGTTATCCGATTACATTATTGTATCCTAATTTGAGACGAATCTCTTACGTGGATAAACCAAGTGTGGCTTTTTTTTCCTGTCCATCAGATGTGAAGCCACATCAGCGGATTTCATTAATCCGAATTAACGGAAAGACGGCATCGAACATTTTCATATAATCAAAGTACTAAATTGAATATTTACCAATAGTTTGAGGATCGCATAGAACAAATTAAAAGTCAAAAAGCGACGTCGCATATTGAATCAAAGTTGAGGGACCATTCGTGCCATTATTCCGACGTAACCTCGGTGGCATCAACGCGATGTTAGAATTTAGGAATCAAAATAATGGTTTTCTTTGTCATTCATGCCCTGCGTTTTAAAAAAAAAGGAAATGAAAAAACCGAAAAGAAAAAATCGGCCTCGTTAATATTCGCATTCCATAAAAAACCCAAAGGGCCTTCCTTTGGCAACTCCGGAGCCGCCTTCTTCTTCTTCTTCAGACCTCGAAGATTTCACCTTTCGAGTCCGATCGACGCCGCCGTCGATCGGCCTTCCTCCAGATCTGCTGCTCCTCCGTCCTCGGCGTCGCCCGAATCTCCGCCGGCTCGAGTAGGGGCGGCGGCCGCCCCCCCGGGTCCATTCCGCGCCGCGTGATTCCCCCTCGCCGGACTGAAACTGTGAGTAAAAAGTCTGTTCCCGACAAAGCTTCGCTGTTGCCGATTGCGTGTAATGCCCTCTTATGTAATTCGTACGTTGAAGCTGCTGCTGCTGGTCTTAGTAATCTTGCACGAACGCGTGTTGATTTCGTGGGCTGTTCAGCTCCCTGTGAATTTTGATTGTTGTTCTGGTGTGGTAAAGCAATAGCCTTGCTTGTTTAGATTGCCGCGAGAGCTTGCGTACGCCGTTGCGATTCGTGGGTATTGATAGTAGTTGTCGAGTTTTTGTCTGTAGCTCATGATCTGACGAGGTTTGTGTTTTTCTCTGGGGTTTGATTTGCCGGAAACCCCCCTTTCTGATTTACGTCGTAATAGCCGAAGATTTGATGGGATTTTTTTGCATTGTCTTGATTGTTGAGTGGACAGCGCTGAAATTTGTCTTCTGAAATGGGAGACAGCAAGTTACCTCCCGAGTCTCCGAAAGGAAACCCGGATCAAAATCCTAACCAAATTTCGCCGCCCGACAATACTGAGAAGTCGCTTGATAGCATCATTAGGGAGTTCAATGACTCGGTCTCTGTCGGCAAGAAGCACAAGTTTTGGGAAACCCAGCCGGTGGGGCAGTACAAGGATCTTGGGAACTCGAGCTTGTCCGAGGGCCCGATCGAGGCCCCGACCCCATTGTCTGAGGTCAAGCAGGAGCCGTATAATCTTCCGAGCCAGTATGAGTGGACCACCTGCGACCTGGGCTCCGAGGAGACATGCACTGAGGTCTACAACCTTTTGAAGAACAACTATGTAGAAGACGACGAGAACATGTTTAGGTTCAACTATTCGAAGGAGTTCCTCAGGTGGGCTTTGCATCCTCCGGGGTATTACACGAGCTGGCACATTGGTGTTCGTGCTAAAGCTTCCAAGAAGCTCGTCGCTTTCATCACTGGTGTGCCCGCCAGAATTAGGGTGAGAAATGAAGTAGTTAAGATGGCGGAGGTTAACTTTTTGTGTGTTCATAAGAAGCTTAGATCGAAGAGACTAGCACCTGTCCTAATTAAGGAGGTTACGAGAAGAGTCCACTTGGAGAATATTTGGCAGGCAGCTTATACAGCTGGTGTGGTTCTTCCAACCCCGATCACAACTTGCCAGTACTGGCATAGGTCCTTGAATCCAAAGAAACTCATTGATGTCGGATTTTCGAGGCTTGGTGCTAGGATGACTATGAGTCGAACTATAAAGCTTTATAAGTTGCCAGATTCAACAGCCTCCCCTGGTTTCAGAAAAATGGAGCTTCGCGATGTCCCTGCTGTTACCCGTTTGCTCAGGGACTACTTGGCCCAATTTGCGGTTGCCCCTGATTTTGACGAGAACGATGTGGAGCACTGGCTGCTTCCAACTGAAAATGTGATCGACAGTTACGTCGTGGAAAGTCCTGACAGTCATGATATTACCGACTTCTGCAGCTTCTACACTCTTCCTTCATCTATACTCGGGAATCAGAATTACTCGACCTTGAAAGCTGCTTATTCTTACTATAATGTCTCGACCAAGACTCCTTTACTACAGTTGATGAATGATGCGCTTATTGTCGCAAAACAGAAAGATTACGACGTTTTTAATGCTTTGGATGTCATGCATAATGAATCTTTTCTGAAGGAGCTTAAATTTGGTCCTGGTGATGGGCAACTCCACTATTATCTTTATAATTACCGGTTAAGAGAGGCGCTGAAGCCCTCAGAGCTTGGCCTTGTTCTCTTATAAATGGTACATCGAAGACTTTCGGTGGAAAAGGAAAAGATCGCACTGCTTATGCTGCTGGACCGCTCCCTAGATTGGTTGGTGGTTTTGTTCCTTTATACCCGAGAAATGTGTTTTTGCAGTGCGACTAGGAGACTCCACAGTGCTTTCTATTCTGTTGAAAGAATTAACTTTTGAGACTGGATTTTAATTTCATTTGGCGTGTTATTCTTCCCCTTGAACATTCTATTTACTCATTCTTTACTTTGCTTCTCGGCAGCTTCTTTTTATGTTCTGAGTTGTCGTGACCGATGGATTTTAGCTCATGATGAGTAGCAGCATTTGACTGCTAGTTTCTTTAACTCGGCCGATTGCCCCCAATGCTCTTTGTGATATTTGGCTGTGACAAGGAACAGGGTGACGAGAAGTAGTCTGCGTTAAATGAGTGCAGGTGCTGTGGCCAGTTATGGCTGCATCCCATCGTCCTACTTGTACGTTATTTGATAGATGGTTCCTTTTGCAGCATTTGCTATTTTGACAAGAAATTTTTCTTGCAAGCGAAGTAGGAGAGAGAGAGAGAGAGAGAGAGATGACTTGCAGAGACGCTCCTTATAAGAACTTTGGGTGGTAGTTGTCCGAGCAGGTTTAGAATGTTGGGAGTGTCTCTGCAATCAGGGCATATTTGAGAAATTCATTTACAAAAGAACATGGTCTTATCACATCGTTTCAACACAATAGAAGATAGTTCTACTCTTATCATATTCTTTTATTGCATGCTACCGATTGCTAATCAGAGTTGCGGTCACTGTGCCGCATGATAAGCCATCCTGGCACAACATTGGGATAAGGCCGAATGGATAATCCAAGTTTTCACAAAAGGGGTTAGAATAAGCCGTATCGTCACTCCAGTTAAATTACAAGCGACGGACATGGATAAGACCTAAACCAGAAGATCAAAGGGGCAAATTGCAATATCATGGTGGTGATGACCTTTGTAAGAAGACCTCTGCTATCTTCACATTGCGATCAATGTATTTCTAGAACATGATTAGATATCACCTCTCCAGGTAGAAAAATTGGTAAAGGACATTTACTCGTTCATGAGAAAAAGTGCATTGTCTCCTTTTCTTGTCGTAGAGGATTCCGAGTAGCAGCAAGCAGAAAAATGGTTCTACAACCATCCAAGAAGGTCCGGCCATCTAAAAAGGTGACAATCATAATGATATTATTAAGAGAGTATATGGGTACAACATTGGTTTGATTCTTCGTAACAAAGTCAAAATGAGAGCAAGCTATATATCTACACATACAAGGTTGAGTCATCAGCTTATTTGATGAGTTATGTATCACCTCATGCGACGAGCACCATTTCGTCCCTAGAACCTGAAATGTAAGCAAAAGAGTTAACAAAGAACCGAAACAAGCCACAAGGAGGAAAGGGAAAAAAGAATCAACATCTGGACCTTTGACAGTACATTTTTCTAATATCCCTAGAGCCAACTGAAGCATTGCATCTGCATCTTCAGCCATCTTTGAGACCCTCTCTGCTTCCTTAACTGCTTCAGCTGCCACAAAGGATTTGTTCTCTGCTTCCGCGATCTTGTATGCAGCAGCGACGGCTGCCTCATCTACTGTTTCACCGAAATTTGTATTGACAACAGGCTGCAGCTGCCTAGGTCTGACATCTTGCTCCTTAGGGGCTGGTGTTTTTGTCCCAAAAGAGGTGATCTCTTTTATCTTGAAGCAATTCTGAACCTGCATGGTCATTTCGTAGTGGTGTTACCAACTTTACTATGGGGTTATCTGTCAACATCTCAATCTGAACACATCTCCGTTTTTAACACCACAAGCAACATTACAAAAATTAAAAACCAAGAGAGTGGCAGCTCCACAGTCCACACTGAACATTATATAACATTTTCCCCACCATCACTGCATCAACAAATGCTATTCGCCTCAGTCCCATGCAAGGGAAAGAACATCATCAGTCAACCTTCCAGAAGATTCATGGCATTGGAATTGCTCATCAGAAGAAAGCTCTTCCTAGACTAATGAAAGTAGGAGCTTAGTTCTAGTTATTATATTTTCAAGTCAGTAAAAGTCTTCTAATAATTACTCTTGAAATTTATAAGTGATGATAGGAAGGGTGAAGCCAAGCCTGCTGTGACTTAAACTGAGATATTGCAGCTTCTCTCTTTGGTTAGGAAGAAATGATAACACAAAGCAAGCCAATTGAAGACGGCATGGGCCGCTAGATTAGAGAGACAATACTATCAACAGTCGAACTTTGGAACCACGAGTTTGTAATTCATGAGATCAAAGCCTAATAAAATCACATACTATGCGCCAATAATTGCATGACAAAATATGACCTTCTCAAGTTTGTCTTGTGCAACCAGCCTTCTTAATCTTGAACTCAACAGCCTCCTAAAATTTTGTGGGACCTCATGTCTCCGCTGGAAGCATAATTAAGAAAACATATACCTGCTTAAAACTCATGTTTCATAACAAGAAATAAAATAGATCTAATCAAGGAACGCAGAGTATCAAGCTGAGAATAATAAATGTGATGCACAACTCCTGAAACAACAGCCACCTCTTGACAATTTTCTATTGATGACTCATGCAAGAACGACAGAACATGTCCCTCTTTTGTTTGGAAAATATTTGCAGCTTGAATTTGTAAAAAGGTCGCCCGGGAGAGCAATTCCAGTCTTCTTCTTAAAAATTACATGCCAACAAAGTAATACGCCAAGAAAACTATGAACAGAAGAGGGAATTTTTATAGCCATTCTTGGCGTATTCGACACTGATGCGTATCTAAAAAATTCTTACTCTCGAGAGGAAAATGGAATATTAACACACTTCTGTTATAATGCAGAGAGCTGCTGTCAGACCTCAATATAGCTGAAAATTGCACCGGTGTCTGATCCATTGGGCTCTTTCAATGTTGAAAGTGCTTCAAATATCATTGCATTGTACCTAATAACTGACAAGTCAGTCAAAGAAGTAGGTGGAAATTTACCATATATAACTACATATACCGTGAAGAAGCTGGAGACTATTGGACAAATTTATTTGGACAGTGTTACAATGATCTGTGCTAAAACAGACACTCCGCACTACCGTGTGGAGGGTGCAGATGTAATACGAACGACACTATAGAACACCTTAATCTCCAAATATAGTCCACCTTAATCTTTCGTTTATCCTGCCGTGCGACCATCCAAACAGGATAAAGGGATGATCACCCTGTGTCTATGATTTACCTTTAGTGACAGCTGATAATAACATCCTCCTCCTTACACATCTCTTCTTACTCAAAAATTTGTACAGAGTGGTACTGACCCATCTTTAGAGAGAACACTTTAAGAGCTAAAGGTACGTCTAATTCAAATGGTAGCATGCCTCCTCTGCCAAAATATTTTTTTCCAATGTGAACATAAATCTATTAACTCAAATTTGAAGAACAATAATTGCAACAGTGTTGGACACTCTTGCCTATTGCACTTTCTGCACACCAAATGAAGATACTGGTTTAGCCGAGGCACCTGCGTGATTTTCCAAGAAAATAAATATAAGAAGATAATGTACTCTATACCTGGGCGCACTCTTTCCATCATCCGCGATTTTTGGAGCGCCGTCAGTAGCTGGTTCTGCAGTTGCTTCATCTGAAATGGGAACATTAGGAGCATTTGGCAAATTGGTCAAGGTAGAAGGAGCATCTGAGCTTGCTTTAGCTTTTGCCCGTGATTTATCCCTTTGACCTTGGCCACTGGCACCACCAATCATATTCCGCCATTTATCCTGAGCAGTAGAAAAGTTTTCAGTAAGGCATGTCGAATTTTAGTACTTGTTGAACACCTTCAAGAAGAACAAAGATCCTTTTGATACTCTCAGATAACAAAAGTTTCAGGAAAGACTGCGCGGAAGTAAAGGCATCGGAAGAAACAAACTTTCATTATCTTCAAAAATTAACCTTTCCTTTTAGACAAGCAACTTTCTTTCAAATCCCTGCACCTTTCACATCCAATAGAGTGAAAAAATGTCTGGAATCCGTAACTGGTTAGGCAATTTTAGGCAGGGAAAGTAGAGTAATTTTCTTCAAGCTGGTATTTTGAATAGTTTGATTTGTGCAAATATTGTGACATCTTCCATCAAGTTCACAGAGCAATTTGATAGTAGGTCTGCCGCTTCTTGAAAAACCAATCAAGACTAGCATAAAGGAGAGACAATTCAAAATAAAAGTTCTTGAGGGCATGGCATTATATTACAGGCAGGAAAAACCCTTTAAGCTTGTTTATTTGAGAAGACACCTCATATACTGATTCATAGAGCACTGCAATATCCCACCCTTTCACTAACTAGATGTACATGCATCTAAGGCCATCTCTACAACACTAAATTAAGTCAAACGCAAGGCCACACAGCACCACATAAGTACAATTCGTAAACACCATAAAATGAACTGATCATGAGCTGCATCAAACAACGTCCAACACTGGTAATTAACAATCAAATGAAAACTGAAACAACTCCGAAGGTACAAATTCTAAGTAACCAGACAGCATTTCTACGGGGAAGGGGAAAAAAGACATCCTAAGCGCAGGGTGCTGCATATGATCAAGGTTGGGTTTTAACTCTTTCCCAAAGCACCTTGGCTCATCAAGTCATTTTTTCATTTTTGGCACGTCACTGATCAAACTTACTATTGGCAAGCTCAAAACGATAGTTAATGCATCTCACAACAGCGTAATCTACGCAATCAAGATATTATCATTGCATCGTTTACGACATCTCTGAAACCAGCGCCACAGAAACATGCTAAAGTCTCGATGAGCGAACGAAACGCGCTCCTTCGGCCGTCTCAAGAAGCGATCGAGCCCTATGAACATTTTCACGAACACCTTAAGCGCATTCCACAGTACGGGTGCCCCGCAGGACGCGCGCGCGTGCTGTGCACTCCACACTTACCACATGCTCCCCGTTTCGCTTCCCACTACCAGGAGCTCACGGTAAGAGCAACAGCTTGCCCATCCCTTGGAGCCCACGCTCGATAGATTCATAAGAAGCGATCGAGCCCTATGAACATTTTCACGAACACCTTAAGCGCATTCCCCAGTACGGACGTCCCGCGGGACCGCGCGTGCTGTGCACTCCGCACCCACCACATGGTCCCCGTTTCGCTGCCCGCTACCGGGAGCTCACGGCAAGAAACAACAGCTTTCCCCGTCCCTTGGAGCTCGCGCTCGATAGAAATTCACACGAATTTTCGGAGAGAGAGAGAGAGACCAGGAGGAGGGCAGGGACCTTGAGATCGATGTTGGAGCGAGAGAAGAGGAACTTGTTGAACTCGGGATCGCGCTGGATGTCCTTCCACTTGCCCGTGCCGTGCTTCGCGACGCCGGCGCGCAGCGCCTCCTCCTCTTCCTGCGTCCATTTCTGCTTCGGATTCCCCATCCTCTCGCGGGGGCGCCGCTGTGTGCGGGAGCGAGCGAGCGAGCGGTGCGCGCGTCTGCCGCCGTCGAAGTGATGAAGAAGACGACGCGGGCTTTTCAGTGCCTGTGCTGTGGGGGCACGTCGGCTCGCTCGGCAAGTTTTTCGGGCTTGGGCTTGGGCCGCAACTTGTTCTTTAAGTCAATATTACAGTCATAACGACCCGTCGAACGGGTGGATCGGGTCGGATTTGGATCAAGCCGAAAATGGTCAAACCCAAATTGATCAATTTAATCCGTTTTGACCCATTTCCATGCAATACAAATTCAGTGACCCATACACAACCCGACCTGTATTGCTAAAACACTCATGTATTTAACAAAATCTTGAAAAACTCGAATCCAAATTGCTGAAACCTCTTCCGAGTTAGATTTCTAGAAAATGCCGGACAGGCTTCCGACGTGGAGGGACGGTCGCTGATCACGAGTTTAGACGAGCTTGCGGTTGATTTCTAAGTGCTATTTTGGTTTGCCCATCTGCGATTTTTCGGTCCACGTCAAGTTGTTCGGCTCATTTACGTCAAATTGTGTCGGGGGTTCTCGTCCCTGTGCCAATTGGACATTAGACTTGGAGAGGCTTAGATGCATTTGGCGAATCCGTGGTACACTGAGATCCAACAGGTTCAAAAGTCACAACCTATTTGTGGAATTTCATAGTGATTGAATTGATTTAGCCCTCGGTTTGCCGTCGGAAGCTAAAAAATGAATGGCTATTGGTTGATTGGACATACAAGTCGTTTTTACTTTCGTTTTTTCTCGAACTTCTTTATCGTGTTCGGCCTTCATGGTGCGACGCGATCGTGACATCGCGATATATTTTAGCATGTCCGGTTTACATACTCGGGCATTGTGCTAGATTTGTCTCGGCATCACCCATACTCTTTTTTATTAAATTTGTGACCGCTTTGCCTTAATATGTCCCTAATACATATCCGTGTTCTCTTGCCTTAGAGTTCGGTAAAAATTATTTAACATGGTATCAGAGCCTAATCAAATGAATGATATCTTGTAAGAATCATTTAATATCATTTAATATCGTGTCTTAGCTCTATTAGAACTCTTTTTCCCAGCTATATAATTCTCCATTCTTGACAAAGGAATTATTTACATAATTCTCTCCGCAAGAGTTGTGCATGATTGTTTAGGATTAGATTGGAACCGAACACATTTACATATGTTCTATAATATATCTGGCCTACGTGCAATTAAGTAGAGGAGTGAATCTATCACGCTTCTATACAGTTTTGGATCCAGAGGCTCACCTTTTTTTCATCTTTATCCGGCTCGGTAGAACGAGGCCTGGATGTGTCTATCCTCTTGTAATTCTCCATACCAAATTTCTTTACAAGTTTCCTAGGCATATTTTTCTTGGTGAATTAAATTCACAACCTTGGTTGGTTTCACTCGAAGCCCGAGAAAGAAATTCAGTTCATCTGTTATGCTCATTTCAAATTCATTTTGCATAACCTTTTGTGAAATCCTTGCACAGAATCTCATTAGTAGAAACAATTGCATTTCATATTGTCGTGTCTTATTATTATTTTTTTTCCGTTTGATTCTACTTGGGAAACAAACAAAAACCATTTGGTTATTGTTTCGCCGGAACTGTTCCCGCGATGAAATATAATTCACCGAACGTCATTCTTCAGCTTTTAACGAGAAAGGACCGGATTCAGTGGCGACTCCGGACAGGAGACATCTAGACAAGAAAAAAAAAGTTCACTTGTTTCAACCAAACAGTGCAAATTCGAGCTGTGACAATACTTGATCAATAAGAGACTTGAGCAAAATAACTAATTTAAACAAGTTCCACCGGCCGTTGACCGGCAACATTACACTTCAATCTCGTTGACACCATGTTACGTTGAGGCTAGACTTAAGACATAGATAGCTACAGCTAAGAAAACTGAAAGTATACTGCGTAAATCTTAAAGATAAAAGATAGCATTTTACTTGTGTTTTTTCGGGAGGGCCTTCCGAAGAGCATGACGTGGCTATTTAAAGCCTACAATCGACGGTTATAAACGGTTACTAATAGAGGTTACGGACGGTTACAAATATATGTTACAGACGGTCACTAACAGAGATTACAAACGGTTATTAACAGAGGTTACAAACGATTACGTTGAGTCTGCTACCTTGACAGTTTATTCAACTCCACTACGTTGGCGGTTACTTCAACTCCACTACGTTGACGCTTACTTCTTCAACGGTTGTATCCGAGATTGTCGACTCCACTTTTTGTCGATTTCTTCAAGTTGGTGATTCTTCATTGAAGTTCATATCCTTTTTTTGCATCCTGACCAGTTACGATCGTCTACTTCCTTCCAAAAACAACAACTTTACAGTGCTCGTCTGAGAAAACTCAAAACATAAAAGTTGTAGATTTAGGAGTCTTCATTCTTTTGGCTTTAGAATCAGATCAATCCGATGTGTATTGACAAAGTTATGACCATTTTCCTGAACTAGCGCAGAATTGAAATTTCCACGTTCTGACTAGTCACGACTGTCCACTTCCTTCTAAAATCGACAACTCTATAGTGCTTTTCTGAGAAAACTCAAAACATAAAAGTTGTACATCCAGGAGTCTTCATTCTTTTGGTGCAGAACTGAAATTTCTTCCGTTTTGTGATGGAGTCTCCGTGTGTGCAAGTCACTCTCCCGATCCTATTGCTTGAGTATTTGACACATTGGCCCACATCAAAAAGACTACGAAACTCTGTTCTTATTGACTAAGCCCATCACTTGTTAATAATAACCAAAAATTGTTCATTTTTGGGTGTAAACAATTATGATGCAATATTATAGGACAATATAATTGGTCAAAGTCATGATAATTTAGGTATAATGTCATCAATAATGACAAATAACTTTAACCAATATTTGCTCGTTAGTCTACGCTAATCACTTCGAATGAGCTGTAAAGAAAGGCACCCTTCTTTGTATTTTTCTAAGGTGGATTTGCCAACATCACGGCATCGTCAAGCCTTTCTTTCTGTCCTGTAGACACGCATAACGCATTCGAGAGGTGTTTTTTCTTTTGGTCGGGCAACCGAGAAATGTTCAAGTGGCATCTTTTGCGGAAAATGAATAATTAGAAAAATATTTCTTTTAAAAATAATCAGCTGTAGTGCTTAAAATAATTAGTTGGTGAATTTTTTTATCATCAATAATATTTTATATCTAAATATTTTTTTAGGTGATAAGAATATTTTTCGTTCGTTCATCTTTTGTAAGCGACATGAGCAGTTATTTTGAGGAATATATTTCCAAATCATTCATTTTCCCCAAAACAAATGGGCCCTTATTCTTCCCTAAAATTTACTTCATTTTATGTTTACTATTTAATGTTTATTCTTATATGCATCTACTTGTTCATTTTTTTTCCGTTCGTAATTTGAGACCGTGTTTTAAACATGTAAACTAAATTGATTCTACTTAGGAAACAAACAAAAACCATTTGGTTATGATACAATATTATGTAGCACCATAATTGGTCAAAGTCATGATATTGTAGTATAGTTGGTTCACAATTTTCAATCACTAATGAAAAACGTGTAACCGGTATAACCATTTTTTTAATGTTTTTTAAATAAATTATCAATTAAAAAATCTCACATTTAGGAATATACGAGGTTTCGTCGCTTTCCATGAAGTGATGGTACCGTCCTTTTGGCATTGGCCTTTTATATAAGTGTGTGTGAAGGGAGAGCTCATTCTCCATTGCATTCAAGTTCACTCACAAGTCACGGTACGGTACCACCCCCGCCAAACAAAAAGTAGAGTTTTTAGACACCACCACCATGGACAACAAAGAGAAGCTTCACGTAGCGATGTTCCCATGGCTCGCTTACGGCCACCTCATGCCCTTCCTCGAGGTCGCCACCTTCTTAGCTCAAAAGGGTCATCGCGTCTCCTTCGTCTCCACCCCCAAAAACCTCCAAAAGCTCCCCACAAACCTCCCTCCCTCGATAACCCTCGTTGAGCTTCCCTTGCCTCGCGTCCCTGGCCTCCCGGACTCGGCCGAGTCGACTGCCGAGTTGCCGAACGACAAGGTCCCGTACCTCAAGAGGGCCTACGATATGCTCGAGCCAGCTCTTGACGAGTTTCTTCAACACTCCAGCGTGGACTGGATAATCCAAGACTTTGCGTCGCACTGGTTGCCCCGAGTTGCGAACCGACTCGGTGTGAACTCTGCATACTTTAGTGTACACAGTGCTACCACTCTCGCTTTCGCCGGACCACCTTCTGTGTTGATCGATGGCCCGAGCCGAAGGCCAGAGGACTTGACCGTCGTTCCCGAGTGGATAGATTACCCGACCAAGGTCAGGTTCAGGCTCCACGAGATGGTCACTCACCAGGATTGTATGGACACAGGAGTGTCGGATTTTCAGAAGCTCGGCGAGTCGATTCGGGGTTCCCAGTTCGTGGCCGTGAGGAGCTGTGGCGAGTTTGAGGCCGATCCGCTGAGGCTACTTGAGAAGCTTTATGGGAAAGTCGTGGTCCCCGTGGGCTTATTACCACCCCGTCGCAGAAGCGGCAGTGGAGATGAGAGATGGGGCGAGCTGAAACGATGGCTCGACGATAAGAAAGAGAAGTCGGTCTTCTACGTCGGGCTCGGCACCGAGGTTAACATCAGCCGGGAGATGATGCCGGAGCTCGCGGCAGGGATCGAGAAGTCAGGTTTGCCTTTCGTTTGGGTGGTGGGTCAGAGGCCCGGCCCGGAGATTATACCTCCCGGGTTCGAAAGTCGGGTCTCGGGCCGAGGTTATCTGTGGATGGGTTGGGCTCCTCAGGCCGAAATTCTCTCTCACGCGGCGATCGGAGGGTTCCTGACCCACTGCGGTTGGAGCTCTACTATCGAGGCGCTCGGGCAAGGCCGGCCGTTGGTTCTATTTTCTGGAGCGAATTCCGACCAAGGGCTGATGGCGAGGATGTTTGAAGAGAGAGGGGTCGGGTTTGAAGTACCGAGGGACGAGCTCGACGGATCGTTCTCGAGTGACTCGGTGGCCAAGACGATCAGGCGGGT